TTTCAATCAATGTGAACCAATTTGCCACATTTTCTTAAATAGTCAGGAAACAAAGCATATACTCCAAGAGCAGTAGAAGGTTAGCAGGAAATGTTTTCTATGCCTTGCTCATTCTACCTATACAGCTCCTCTTGATCCTTTTTGGGAAAAACAGAGCAGTACTGTCAGCTCAGCTGAGTTACCAGCCAATTACAGTTGTTTCAACTTTGCTAGCTTACAACTGGGTAATGCTTTTTAATCCTACTGACAGCCCGATCAAGTGAACCCAATTGAAGACACACAGCTCTTCTTTCCATCAGGCTGGTGCTTCTCTGAGTCCTGGCATTGAATTAATTGGGGTTCTGCCCTTGTGATGGCAGCAGCCAGGTTCCTATGGGATTTTGAATACAAACCATCAGTATGATCAACAAAGTGCTATAATATTAACTTTGCTGTTAATATTTCATCATTTCCAGCTAAAGCTTAATACCATTCTGAGAAATGGAAGCGTTATGCCTACACCTTTTTAGTCACTATCAGTGCACATTCCCTACCAATCTATGGAGATGAATTTTTCATTAATATATTACTATTTATGTATAATTTAATAATGGATTCATGCAGAAAGATCACAAATGGCCCTAGGTCACCTAGCCAGAATTTCTGTATGTCGTCAGTCACTAGATAGATATCCCATAGCACCCTGATATCTTAGTTAAGCTGACCTCATCCCCTTCTGGAACTACTCACTCACATTCCTTAGAGTTAAGAGACTGATGGGTTTAAGAGAATCCCATGTCAACACCAGGTCTGCAGAGAGTAATCTTGCTGGAGCCGATAGGTCCTTCAGAAAACCTCCAAAATGTTGTTTCATTTCATCAAAATAAAATTGACCCCTTAAGAAAGGGGCTAGAATTCTGTACCCAAGGAGGTTTTTTTTATTATGAAACTGCTAATCTTCTACCTTTTTGAACCAGTGAGCGATGGCTGAATTAACCAAACATAGTTTAAGATCTTTTAAAACATTTATTAAAAATCCATGCACTTTAGGAACCCTAAAAAAGGTTGATGTCTTGCCGATCTGTTCTTACTCTATAAATAAAACCACATCCCTATTGTCATGCCACAGTTGTAAGCAAAAATAAAAATAGGATCTTTGTCAAAACTGTAAGAGTTAAACACAAAGCTGGTGCTACACAGTATTGATCAGTAACAAAGAAGTCCATGAATATAACATAGATGTAGCTTCGTTTTCTCCATGCATACATACAAGATTGATGGACAGATACTGGCAATCCCATAAAATTAGTGTGTCACAGGAAATGTATAAACATGCACTTAAACAAATATTTCAGACTAAGAAAAATGCTACTTTAAACTTGAATGGTAACGAAATGGTCTGTTTATATGTTAATCTGTTGTAGAAGTTTTCATGAATTTACAATCGCAAATCGCTTATACAGCGGTAGAAGGAACATATTTTTAAAATTATTCACATTTCCCTCGTTCAACATACTTTCTGTTCAAAATGATACAAACCTTAGGTAGGCCTAAAAATATCTGATCTATTTTTGGAGATGCGGAAGGAAAACAAAAGAGTTAAACTGAAGATAGGTGCTTTAAGGAAGCTTCTAATTAGGCTTAATAAGAGGAAGGTGATGCTCTTTCAGAAACAGCTGTAGGATGTCACACCCCAAAACTACTACTGATGAGTAGGTAATTTCCAGAAAGAATACTGTAAGTGTGATATCTCTTGAAAACTTCTAGATTTCTTGCCAAGTAGCTAGGAATCCTAGCTAATGATTCATTTGAAATGCTTATTATATGTATTATGCATGTTACATATAAATAATAAATAATAATAAGCATAAAGTTTGATGTTTTCATCATTTGGCATGCCATTTAGTGAAAAAGTTCCTTTATGTTAGATGGGAAAAAAGAAACATGAGCATGAAAGAGTTTCTTTACCCTTCCAATTATCTAAGAACTGTATTTCATTTTCTCCATTTTGAATAAATTAATTAGGATTTGATCAATTATTAGCCTTCATTGTGAACTAAGAAATTTAGAAGTGATCTCAAATAAGTGATATCAAATAAGACGTAATGAAAACGTAGAATTTAATAGTAAAAATATTAATTTAACAATCTGCTCACTTCGTTAGATTCATTGATTTCAATGGAACTACTGAAGTAGGCAATTATGCATGTATGTAAGTATTTCCAGCAGAAGTTCCCTATTTTTCAAAGACTTTCAATCTCATATATTTAAAAATATATATACATATAAATGTGCAAAGACTAACCAGAAAGTTAGAGAAGCTGTCTAAAACATAACTATTTGTTCTTGCAAGAAATTGCATTTTTATAGGACCATTCACATTGAGTTAACATGAATAAAGAAAATCATTATTTTTCCTTCCTGTTATAATGAGGCCAAGAAAATCCTCAAAGAACAGGAAAATCCTTCACATCGCTAGGTAGCAGCTGCCTGCCTGTGTTTTCATCCAGTATGGAGATCTGCCAGCTCTGTTTCATGAGAGTACTTCATCAAAGAAGACTACTAAGGCTGTATCCAAAGATAGTTGCTAAAATACTTTCAAGAATATAGGCCAAAATATGCACTACTGTACCAGATAGGAATTTTTACTAGAAATTAATGTGAAAAAATGTAGTGCACTCAAAATATCATGGAGGACAATTTCAAGATCGTGTGGAAAATGTGCATAGTGGGAGGAAAGGTTGAACAAATGATATAAGTAAAGGACAGTTTGTGCTTTAGGTCTCTTTTGTTCAGGATTGCAGAAACTGTCAGAAAGATAAATTTTCTAAGCAGACCAGACTGCTGAAGAGCCAAATTTTACCCTTAGGGTTATCTATTCTGAAAAGGAGTCTATGAGGTATCCAAGACAATATCAACCATTAAAATGGACCAACTTTAGAAACAATCACTCTTATTTTAAATATAGTTATTTCTTCCCTTTCTCCTCTTAGCCAGCAGTCATCAGAGTAGCATATAAACTGCTATGAGCCACTTATATTTTAGAAAAGCAAATTTTCACCCTTTTTTGAGAGGACTGACATACCTTTGTTCTCTGATCTAACAAGATGATGCATCTTTGATCTGAGAATGCTTAAACACAGTGAAGCACATAGCCCCTATGTGTCAGGTTAAACTGAGTGTGGTATTTTCTTTACTTTAAAATATACTAGGAACTGGTTGAGAATCAGTGCCACACTGTAAACTAAAGTCATCTACAGAGACAGCAGCAGACCGTGAGTGCTAAGCAGTGAAACTGAAGAAGGTTTTGCACACGCTGGGACTCCTGTTAGTCCCTGCCACAACATGCTAATTCCGGTGGTGCCAAGAAATACAGCTCTGGGACCTCCAGGCTATTGTAACTCTTCCTTTGAGGCCTTTCTCTGCCCACTTTCCAGTTTTTCTGACTCTTTCACATGAGCAGGAAGCAAGCTCTACCAACTTCTTGCTTTTACACTATAATTCTGAGCATATATCTAGGCTACTCACTTCTTTTTCAGTTGCAGAATGACCATGTCCAGTGTATGAGGAACAGAGGTGAAAATAAAATGAGAAAGTGTAATAGATTGTGTGCAAAATATAATAGCAAAAAATTACCTGTAAGTGTTTAGAATTATTTTTATTTTCATTTTGTGTAGTAATTGCTGTTCCTCAACTGCAACAACTAATTTTCATTCCTTCTTTAAATCTTAAAATTATTCTTTTATGTCCCCAGTCAATATGGACCACTGTTTTTTCAGCTGGAACTCTAAATCACTGAAAAATAAAATCCAGTGCATAAAGCACTATTCGCTTTCTCTCCATTTCTCTTCCTAAAGCACATGAGAGAGCTCTCCATATTCCTGCCAGCAAACACACAGAATTAGCAGCATGGAATCAAGTCCTGTGAAAATGAAAAACACATCTCAAACAGGAAAATCCTATAGAGGCTCATGTTGGTTTAGATTCCACCTAGAAGTAAAGCAGTATAAACCTTCCTATTTAACATGCTGTTTCAACATTTGCTCCTATTGCCTGTTTCAGATATGGCTCCTGCATGACAGTTTAAGTGACTGAAAAGATTAAAGTGTAAAGAAAACTCAGAGTTTTGAGTTCCTAAAGTTTTCTCAAGGAATTTTTTTTTTAATTATCAGCATTCTCCATCCTGCTACTTTGAGTTCACACAAAATTTTAATTTGCACCTCCCAGCAGCAATGTATATCATTACCAGTATCTGAAGTATGCGCACGGTTTTTATCTGCAACGTACATTTAAGGCTCAGAGCGCTGCTGCCACAGGCAAATATACATATAGAGGCATGCCATATAATATTAATTTTAGAAGCCACAGCTGCTCTAAAATTACTTTCATATGGAGCTCTAAAATGCTTCAGAAGTATTACAGACATCTTCCAGTAATTTTATTTTTTTTCTGTTTATTGTGCAGTTGAAGACGTGGCTTCTGAGCAACCTTCAAATAAAAATAACATGGCTAGGATACAGCTCTGAAGTATAGCTGTCACTACCTTAATACTACTTTAAAACAAATTTATGAGGGAAATGTATCATCATACAAATATCATATCATCCAATGCACTTTCTCACATTGACTCAAACAACAACAAACAGTCAAACAACAAAACCCAGGGCAGATTTCAGGCTCTCTCAAAATTAGGGAAGTATAGGTTATAAAAGTATATGTAAGGAGTATATTTAGGCAAAAATATTAAAAATTTTGTGTTTCTGCAGACACTTAAAAAATTAGCATCTGGCTTCGAAACATATTGCTGAGGCCAGAAAGATAGAAAGAAGTGGAAAGAAGAAAAATGTATGATAGCAGAATGTGCTATGAACACTGTCATGAATCTCTACATCAATGAAGTCCAGGAACAAAGCTGCCTAAATAATAGCTGTAAATTTTCTAGCCATTTCTTGGATACATTTGATTAGGTTTTGCAATACCCTTCAGCACCCTGTCCTGCTAAAGCAATGCTATTTACTTACAGCAAGCTGCTGGAGCCTCATCACTTCCATCACAACAGTCTGGGTGGGAGTCACAGGCTGATCCTCGTTTGATAGCCTGGCCGTCGGCGCAGCTGAATTCTTCTGAGGAGCAGAAACCTGGTGGCTCTGGTGGCGTAGTGTCCATGAGCTGGATGTTATTCAGACAGATAAAACCTTCTCTGCTCTGAACTGCTCCTTTAAACGTAAGCTGTGGATTGTTACAGTTAAAATACTTGCATTAACAAATGACCGAAAGGAACTGATTTTTTATTCCACAAAACAGTAAAGCCCTGGGAACGCACTGGGAGCTTTCCACTACAAAGCTTTAATAAAAATGCCAAATTTAAAATCGGAAGCTGACATTTTGTGTGCCTACGTCAGGTTGAATTTTTTGAAAATTTTCTGCTTAAAATGGTTCAATAAGTTCCAGGAGTGAAGTTAAGCAAAAAAGCCTATTGTAAAGAAAAAAAATACCAAATCTCAAAACCATTTGGCCAAAAAGGTTTAATGTCTCTATGCTTTCGATGAAGGACCTAAAATTTAGTTTCATAAAGAACCTGTGAAGATTTTCTTGAATCTACTTCAAGTCCCTTCAAAACCTCATTTTGCAGATACTAAAAGAAAAATTTTAGGTTATGCTCATACAGGTGAACCAAACGAGCTGGGGACTCTCCCCAGGCACCAATTGGCACAGCATAGCTCAACAACTAATCACTCTTTCATCTCTTAAGATAAGGTAGCTGCATCCAGACTACCAACTGGGAAGGATGCCTGCCTGCTGTTAGCCCTTGAGCTGTTCCAGGCACTCTCTGGGAAACAGCCAGTTTCCTTGAATCAAAACCTTGCTAGGGTCCATGCTAATGTTTTAATTATATGGGTTATCACATGCCAGTCCTTGGGCCTGTGCCCTGGCCCTGTTTAGTTTACCACTATTGACACTGGCATAGAGATTCAAGGAGCATTTCCCCTTCCCACACAGTTCCTTTACACCGATTGGATCTACCACAAGCCATTTTAAAGCAGTGGGATTTTGGAGGAACATGTCTGGCTCCCAGCCATCGTGGATCCAGCATTTCTGTGTTTGAAAGCAAGAAGATTATCCCATTTGTGCACGCCAGGTTTCTTTTGCTGGAGCTAAAGCAGCAAAGAGGAGGAAGCAGGCTTAGATTCATGAGAAAGATGAAGACGGGAATGGTAGTGAGGACTGAGGACAAGGGCAGGTTTTGGAGGCACAAATCAAAAACAGACCTATGGTATTTGACGGGATGGATATGGTCAGAGCGGTAGATGGAAAACTCAGAAAGTAATTGTGCAGGAGGTGAAAGACATAGCTAAAGGAAAGGGGAACTGGACAAGAGTTTCAGACAAAAGAGAAGGAAACTAAAGCAGATACAGTCCAAGGCAAAAGCAGAAGGCACTAACACGCTCCCCAAAGCCTGGAAATTAGGTTGGAGTAAAATCTTGGGAGGTGTTTGCTTTCTAAGAAATAAGAGTGATATATGTCACTATCTTCCACTAGTGACAATTTCTTCAAAATGACAAAGGCTATCAGTTTTCTACCAGTTCAAATGACAGAATGCTATCGTGAAAATATTACATGGTCACGTAACCAAAGACAGCGCCCTTTCTTCCCTAAGCTCAAGTGATCCGTACTGTCTTTGTACAAGAAAACTCAATTTTAGTATTTTTAATGAAACCTCAGCACCCTTTTGTTTATTTATTTTTAGTTACTGTAATATTGCATGCGTCTGGTTCATTATTTACTCTTTTCTTATGGGAAATCACAAGAGACAGGCCATAATGGGTACTTGTAATCTACTAGCTTGCTGAAATGTATTTATTCTAATACATGCCAGAAACTTCAGTACCTGTAATGAGCTGAATTTTTGTACTTTCACAGAGGTTATTTTTCCAGTTGACTGTTAAGATAGTTGAATATCTAACTTATTTGTGGAATTATGAAAAAAATAAAAATGTAAAATTACTTAAAATATAAATTTACAAATTAAAGAACTAAGTAGTTGCAAATTTGCATTCAGCTAAAAATTCAAGGGGAAGATTCTCTCCCAAAATTATTGGTTTATGTCATTCCACTGAAATCACACATATCTCACTCACACCATCCCACTTAATGGCATGTATATTACAATGCGCTAGAAAGAAATATCAGAATAACTGAGATGGACTCAGACAGCTGTAACCAAAGTTTGGGGAAACACATATACATTTTTCTGTTTGTTACTAAAAGCTAGTAGCTTCAGGATGTGAAACAGGAAAATTGTTTTTGTTGAATTATAACCAGAGCTTTACTCACATTGAAGTAATTAAAACCAGTAAGCCTTTCAGGATTTTAATAAGTTTCTAAGTTCCCTAGAAGATTTATGCACAATAAGGTGAATAATGTTCAAAAAATCAAGCACTTGCCTTTTTCATTCATACCTTTAATTTTTCCAGCTCTTCTGGTATCTGTACATCCACTTTGACCCATTCCTTCTTAGTCATTATGCTGGTTTCCCACAAAATACGTTCTTCCTGTGGAATATAGAATATGATGTTATGAAGCAAATTTTTCTCCCCCTGTAAATTATCAAGACCACTGTACACCCTTGGTCTTTTCATTCCTAGCCAGACCACCACCATATACCTACTCACTCTATAGGAGGAAATACAACTTCACATATTCATTTGCAATCTTTGCATTGGACTCTACCGGAAAGAGAAGGAAATAAGACATTTTAACTGTGATTAAGCAGGTTAATCATATAATTATCAGGGGGCATCTTGGTAGAACTAAAGTGAATTACTGTGTAAATTAACGCTTGTTTCTGCCAGACTTAGCAACATGTTTCCAAAAATATATGGAGCTTCATTGAAATTGAGGACAAAAATTCCAGAGGTATTAATGAGAACAGCCCTGGCTCTCTCAATAATAGTAATGAAGTATGCTAAGTTGTGTTATCGGTAGATGTAGTTTTCTTACTTCAAATTGAATTTGCAGTCTGTCAAAATTACCCAATAAACTGCTGATTTTTTTTATTAATCTATAAAACAAGCAGACAGAAAGTACTACCCAACAAATCCTAGTCATGTTCTGAATTACTTCAATTCCTATTTTCACTCCAGCTCCTGAGAATAACAGCAAGAGTGCTGAGTATGCTAAAGCACACTTTATGCAAGTGCTCCACACCCTTTTGATTCAATAATATGATGAAAACAAGCTCGTGCTCATTCTGCTTCTGGTCACAATTGTAAGTGGGCAGTGCAGTGGAGAAAAGAAATGTAGCAGCGTGAACTTCCCTTTCCTGAATAAAACCCTTTCAAGAATCAGCTCCAATATTGACCAAAACCAGCAAGTCAGAAAAAACTGGAAGAAACTTTAATATAAGAAACATCTACAAACAGACTCGCCATTATAGGAATTAATAGCAAGTCCTTTTTTATGACACTGTGTGAAGTATTGGACAAATCTTTTCACACAGGATATTACAGAATTAGAGGAGGTTTAGAAAAAGCTATGAAGCAGGATAAGAGAAATGGAAACTGTCTTATATGAAGAGAAATTGAAAGGATTAAGATGTTTACCTTACAAGAGATGAATAAAAGAGGATATGAAAAGTACATGAAATGTTATCAATGCTATAGACGAGGATGGGTTTTTTTTTCCTGTCTTGCAATACAAAAGGAAGAAGTTGCCATCCACTCTTTTATGGATAAGAAGTTTGAATGAATAGGGCAATATTGATATGATTAGTGACTAACAGCTGATTACTTACCCTACTTTTCTAACAAGGCTTCAACTATTATGATATATTGGCAAAGCTAAAAGACTAAGTCTCCATTGACCAAGTGTTCAAACATCAGTTTTGGAAAACCACAAGACATGGCAAGCCAATGCCCCACTTCTAAGCACTAAACAATGTAAAATCATCAGCTTTGGATAAGCTAGACGGCATACATGATTGCAGAAATAAGTCAGCTTTGTTCACGTGATAGTTATTCAGCAAAAGTCTTTCAATGTCGAGAATGTTTCATTTTACATAAAACTTGCTTCATTTTGCTGAGTAATTCAGCTCCCAAAGCAAGCCTGTTAGTGATATTAGCCAGCAGTAGCCAAATATTAGACACAGAAAAGGATTACATACTAGCAGCCATACTGAATGGCAGATTAAAACCGTAGCCTGTGGTTACTACTAAAATAATGCTTTTAGATACGTTTCAGTTAATATAACTAGGCCCACCCTCCCACACACACACCCTCCAAGTACACTTGCATATCTTGTAGGGATACTGTACATTTACTGTTTGTTTGATTAGTTGTATCTGGATACTATAATTCTGTTGGCATGCAATTAACTTCTTTAGGTGCCCATCCCCCATGGCAATCTTTCTTCCCAACTTATTTTAATAAAAGTAGCTTGCAGTGGTAAACTGAATTTTCTGTACACTTGCCAGTATTCAGACATTCTAGGGCTCTTTCTTACATTGAAAGCAGTAAATCATCTCAGCTGCAGCAACTTTTTAAATTGGTTATTGTGCCCTCTAATTTTATACAGCTGTAGTGAGCCAATAATATCCTTTTCCACTTCCTAGCAATGTTTTCTCCGTAGAAGTCATCTGCTTGTTGGTTTCTTTCATTGCTCTGGTACAAATGGGTTAATCCCTCTTGTTCCTCTAACAGATTTCTTACTTCTCCAGTATTTTTTTTAGAAGGCTCAATGTATTGCTTTCTCAGTACTTTCCCTTGAGATTTATTTGGGTGATGCAGGAGAGCATAATATTATTAAAATATTCCCTTTATTGCAACATAATACAAAAGCAATTTTTTGTGAGGCTAATGTGAGCAAGAATTGTGAGATGCTTTTTCTTTCTTGCAATGTTTATTACAATAATGCTTCTCAAATCTGAAGGGTGGAAAAGACAACCAAAAGTTTTTCTCAGCTCCATTTGTAAAATACAGAATTTATTATCTGATATATCTCTACAGGTACATTTGCACACTGCTGTGCAACTGCACTCACCATTTTGGCCCCTCTTTTTTCATTTCAGCAAGTAATTTGAAACAAATGCTTATTTCTTCCCCTACAATGATTAATGTTTTTAAAGTGAATTACCTTTCACTCTTTCTGCAGAGGTGCGTACTTGCATAATTTTGGAAGTGCTGCAGAACACTTACAGAAATTTTAGTGCTTTAGGATACAAACACGTTTGCACATATAAACATAGGTTGAAGTTATCTTTTGTTCTGTATTTTAGTCTTTTGTAATACATACAAGATGTAAAGATAAAGAAGAAGATAAAAGGAAGAAGTGTAAGCCCATTACTTAACGGGAGGAATGAGCAAATAACAAATGGCATGTGACAGACTGAGGTCAACAAAGCCTTCTTTGGTTTCAATTTTCACAGAAAAGTTTAACATTTATCAGATGCTCAAGACAGTTAATACTGCCGACTGTGAATGCAAACATAGGCCAGAATAGAAGAACAACTTAACAAAAGCATACGCCAGAAGTACTGAAACTGGAAGGGAACCAGGAAATTTTAAGTTAAGGGTGCATAACTGAAAGAATATTTTACTATTAATAATTAACTTTGAGATCCTGAGGAAAATGCGTGGGAAACTGGAGAACTGAGAGAACAAAGAAGGATATACATTACTGTTAAGGGAAAAATACGGACTATGCAATTATAGGCCATTCAGCTGAAAGCTGGCAGCTCATAAGACACTGGAACAAATTGTTTCCAATAATCTCGTAAGCAGCTAGAGAATTAGAAAGTGAGCAACCAATCTGAACTGCTTCTGATCAGGAGCAAGTCACATCCAGCTAGTGTAATCTGTTTCTTTCTGACATAGTAAATAGCTTTGAAAAAGTAGAAGTGACTTGAGTGTTGTAAGGCTTTTAACATAATCTCATAGGACATTCTTTGAGCAAATTGAGAAAATTTGGCACAGATTAAATTACTGTAAAAGGGGCCTACAAATGGGACAGAGATAGGAATACAGATAGGAGGGAGGCCTTATTTAAAGAGTGGCTGTCAATATTTTTCTATGAAACTGAAAGAATATATTAAACAGGGCTCTGCATAGGTCTGTTGCAGGATTTGATATAATTCTTGGTGCTCACTAACCGTTTGGATGGTGGAATGGAAAATAACATTCAAAAAATGTGGATAACACTAAGTTGGAAGGAATCATAAGCACTTTGAATTGGAATTTAAAATTATCTTGATGTATATAAAACAGTTAGAAACCAATAACAAAGTTCAAAAACACATAAAGTATCATAGTTAGGAAAGAAAAATTCAGTGCAAGATATTAAATGAAGAGCTGCTTGGCTAGACCAGTAGTAATACAGAAAAAGATCTGCAGACTATCATGGACTGCAAGCTAAATGCAAGGTAACAACAGAATAGCTTTGACAAAAATAGTGCATTTTTTCCACCCTGCTCCATATACAAGAGCAATTTAAATTATCTGCATCATCTCCTAACTGATGTCCAAACATATAGGTTAGAAAATATATTCACTCCTCTCTGGCTTCTCTGCTAAAAGGGTGAGCGAGGCTAAGGATATGTCTGGAACGTCTCTAGTGCTTGTTCTCTGAGAACCATACTGAGCGAGACTGTTAAATGCAACCCAGTTTCTCTTTATGTCAGGCTTTTTAGTACTGGGCCATAGCACAAAATATTCGGAGAGGAGAGGTCCTCTTAACCATCATAAAAAGCAAAAGGGGGAGGAGGGAGGCATGCATAGTAACAGATAATGCAATTGACAGGTTATTATGACTGACAGCCTCCACGATTAGCACTTTGTTCAGTACCAAAACGTACATAACTTAAGTTTCCCTTCAATTAGGTTGAAGAAATCTAAAATACATGTCTGAGATCTTTTGATTTTGAAGCTTCCAGCAGAAGCTTATGTTTCTGATGGGTTTTCTGCCATATTTTGCAGTATGATGCTGGCTCATGGCAGATCCAAAAAAGCCTGAATGCAATACACACACTTTTGGCTGAAGGAGAAATTCAATAACTAAAACAAAGGGATACAAGATTCTGTGGAAGCATCACAGACTGAACCAATACTGCCAAAAAAGTACTTCTAACGCATATCTATAGAGTTATTTATCAATTAATTCAATTTATCTCTCCAATATTGTGGTAATTCAAATGTCAATCTTCCCACTTTTTGGCGGGTATCTTTTGTTCTATTTTCCGTGAAAGAAGACCATTAAATAGGATCCATTGATCCTATTTAGGTAAGCCATTGAAATCAGTATTCCTGTTCTGTCTGAAGATTGCCAGAGATGTCATACTGGGAAATCTATTGGCAAGTATTATGTCACAGATCTCCCTGCATCTGACCAGAATGCTGATCAGGTTACAGTCCCATGACACAGTAATGCATCACAGAAGAATATAACTATTCCCTTTTTATAAACGAAAAATGAATGAGAGCCTAGAGTCTTTTTTCATGAATCCTTGAAAACATAGTGGTAGATGAATAAGGTGTTCCCATTGCCTGTTCCTATATTTAGATCTCTTTACAGTATTATATCTCAGTCTTGTTTGTACCCCAGCTTTGAGAATGAAGTATGAAATGGATCTGTCTTTTTAAACACTTGTACTGCTGGGTGACAGGAATTTAATTCTAACATCAAAATATAAGAGCCATTAACTTAATGAGACCAGCTGTATTGCTCGTGCTTGCATTAAGTAACAGCACAGCAGCATCAATATTAAGTTATTTAATAAGACTTTCAAAGCAGACATTTTCACATCAGAAAGTCTTAACAGCACAAGCGAGGTAAGCGAAATGGAAATGGTTACCATTGTTGAACCAGCATTGTATTGCAGCTTGACATGTTCGTTTTGCTAATAGGTAGAGGAACAAGAAAATTATTGTTCTAAAACAGTGGGCAAAGCAAGGCAGGTGACCAAGCAAGAGCTTTCCAGACATATCAAGCCAGGCACTTTCCTTTTTTCTGTGCCTCTGCGGAGGACAGGCACCAGTTAAGCCTCCCTGCCACTGGTTTTCATGTTCCTGGTACAGAAGAAGGCTGGAAGAACTACTGCTATAGATTCTTCCCCTGAAATCACCAAACCATTTAATTCTGTAGCCACAGTTCCTCTTTGGACTTTTATTGCAGAACATTCACTCATTGAACCGGTTTATGGCTGAGATGGCACATACCCAGGTTTTACAGTTGCATACACCAGTGGAACTACACAAAGGATGTGATACTCTCAGTGTCCTAATGTGGGGGCCATGCAAGTACTACCACGTGTATTTCCTTGTAGTTTGGCCCGTAAGAGCTGGGCTGCCGTATCCTCGTGGTTTGGAAATGGAAACATATTTCTCCTTACCTGATTAGTATACAGCACTGCCTTGAGAAAGCTGCCTTCTGCCATGGAGTAATGAAATTGAAAATGGCAATTCTTGCCGAAGCAATGACACATAGAGCTGTTAAGATAAGCACTTTTGTATAATGTGTTGTCATTAGCTTCTACCCACACAAAATGGCCTGAAAAAAAGAAAAGTACACTTTTCAGAAAAATATATCTTTTGTGTCTCAGTCCTTAAAAATAAGGACTACTCCTTTCCCGTAACAAAACCATTGCCCTGTTCCCCCAAACAGTGGGATCTGATTGTTATGCTCAAGACATGACTTAGGCATCATCTATGCATTTCCTATTTAAAAAGAAAAGAGATATCTATCCTTATTTTCCTCACAGAATAACCTCAGCAACCAAGAATTACATCAGTTGATAGGATCTTGAAGTTGTTACTTTGTGTATTAAAAGCTGCAAACAGTCTCACATTCAGTTCAGCCACCTTACATTTTCAACCACACAATACCTGATCTTATATTTATTTGGAAACTGGGCTTTCTTCTTTCCTATTATGGCTTCCAGGAAATATCTTTCTACAGTAATACTTCTGCAGACTCTTCAAAATGAAAAAAGGGGGGAAAAAGTATTCTGCCTTACTGCTACAGGGAACTGCCGCCTCTCCACCTTGTAATGAAGTTCCTTAGTGCTGAGCTAGAATTTCTGCAACGAAGTTTTGGGAGCATATTGTCTTTCCATTTGAAGCAGGAAACCAATTTGGGCTCTTCTTGACCTGCTGCCCCTTATAAAAGCATTCCAACAGAGACCTAAAAGAACACTCCATCCCTTCAACAGCATCTTGTATCTGTCACAGTAAGAAGGCTACATTATATCAAATATAGCATGTCTTTTTCTTTCCCTCTCTTGAGCCATGGAATATTTTGCTGTCTGCTGAAGCACATAATTAAAATAATAAACAAGGATTGAAGAAAGATCTTAAGTTTCTGTGTTCACATCTGCAAATACAACTTACCTCAGATGCAGACTTACTTGTGCGTTATTTCAAGCTGAAGGAAAAAAGCATCATTTCACATGGAAAACATTTGATTTTGTAAGGTACCACATACTTTTCCTTTTGTTGCCACTTTACTCTTCATGTTGTGCAACCTTTTACACTGAAACATATGCTTGCAATTTCATTGAAATTAGGTTTTTAATTTCATGCCACAGAAGCTAACCTTGATATAAAGGAAATATTACACAAGTAAGCCAGCATCCTATTTTAAAGAGATTAATAAAGCATCTATGCTTCTACGGCTACTGCACTCTGCAGGAGATAAATATACGTTAACATTACAATTTGCAGTACCTGTTATTTATTTAAATTCTCTAACTGATGTCATTATAAAATGAACTCCAAGTTTTTGTTTGTTCTTGAAATCATGCATATACATGTGATAAATTTCAGACCTATTAATGATCTTGATTTGCTTTTTCAGACTGAAACTGGGAAAACACTCCAGTACTTTGCAATATATTTTCTAACGATAAATATAAATATTTAAGAGAAATATTTTAAGCATTGTTTTCAATAGTTTCAATAAATTCTGAAAAATATTTCCATGGATGCTTTTTATACAGAGAGCTATCTCAAATGGAAATCAATGTGGTTCTCGCACTTTTTAAACTGAACATTTGTCTAAATGATATCAGAACTTAAATCTCTATCCAATGTTAAAAGCAACCACTGGTTGTGTTACTAGATTTTCCTTTCTGATATTAATACTAATATTCTTTTCCATCTTTCATTTTCAGTTCCTGAATCTTTAGAAATAGGGTAAAATGGAATTGGCATACGTTTTAGATCAGAAAGAAAGTGACAAATAGACAAATTAAGGTTCTATGAAACATCCAGAATGATCACGTGTCCATCAGGGATGCACCACTGTTTCTCAGGGAATAAGCTTTATGCAAGCATGAGGAACATTTTTGAGACAAATGGAGGCCTATCTTTAGAAATGAAGACTCTAGAAACTCCTGTCTTGCAAATACAGGCCTTTTTTTCCCTGGATGTAGCCTGTATAAATAGAAATATGTGAGTGTAACTGGACAAGCAATCAGCTGTGCTAACACACTTCAGGGAAACAAATTTGTTACCTTTAGTCAACATCTATTGAGCAGCTTTCTGAAGATTAATGGTATTGGGAATGTTTTTCTTTCCTTTGTTTCTTTTCCTTTGTTTCCTTGCAGCTAGCTCTTCTCCAAAGCCTAAATTTCCCTCAGCTCAAGACACTGTAAAATGTATGACTGTATTTATGATCTGAACTTCTTTATACATTGTCTTGTGAATTTCCAAGACTTTCTGAAGTGTAAAACTTCTACTTCTGAAAGAACGGTGAACAAAAGTCCCAGGAAGGCCATTTCACTCCTGCCAGTGTGGTAGTAGGGCTATCGAGTGGCAGAGTTGTATACGCTTCTGGTAAGATTCATTCTTCGTTCATTCATTTCTATTTACAGAAATCAACTAGAAGAGGCTGGGATTGCTGCCAGGACAAACACCATAGACTTTAATATCTTTCCATAAAGCCTTTTTTAAATCCTGTGTGGCTGCTTAATTAGGCTTTCAGATGGACAGTCTTGTTTCTTTCAGCTTTGAAGAAAAAAATTTCTGTTGTAAGCCAAATCTTTGAGTCTTCCAGAAAGACCAGCCCTGACTGTAATGGAGCACAATTGAAATAGATCTTAGAATTTTTTTCTGAGGTGGTCCTGTGTCTTCCAAGACCTGAGATGGTCAGGCAGTCCAGCCTGCTACTCTGTAGGTTCAAAACTCTAAATATTTAACTACTGGCACAGTTTCAGCCATTTTCTGATGCAAATCCTTTATTGCTCCTTCTGGTTTAATTCATATTCTTTTAGTTCACAAGCTACATAACTTTTAATCTATTTTACTAGTTTTAGAGTGAAAACTAAGCCTTAAATTAAAACCGAGTGACAAAATGAGACCTTTTCTGCTTTGACAAGTTCTCTTCCCAGCAGGCTAGTTGTGTGGGGAAGAGGAGGTCAAATATGAACTGTCATTGTTTCTGCTCTTTAGAGATGAATTTTCATGAACTCACAAGTCATAGATAAAATCTTTAAAAGTGCAATTTAATAGGAAGATTAAATATTCTAATGATCTGGCTATCTTCTTCATATTTCATATAGACTTGAGGGCTTTCATCGTTAGTTATCTGTGAATAGTTAGGTTTAAAAGGCACCGAGCTTTCTTTTTTCTTTTTTTTTTTTTGGTATCTCATAAGAATTATTTTTTTAATGCAGAAAACTGGTTTCATTAGTTTCCTACATCTGGGGTAACATTTATGTAAAGTAGATTAATCCAATATAAGAAGAATGAACTACATAAACTATATACATAAAGAAAATAAAAATTATGTATATTCTGAATAGCGTTAAGAGAGAATATAAAATCTCTGTAAGAACTTCTGACACTAGAGAAATTAAGAGGAAAAGTTACAGAGGAAGTGGCTACAAGACAACACCAGAGAAAAGAAGCAATAAAAGAACAGAAAAGTCATCCAAGGACAGAAAGTATTTTATTAAATTTAAGAACACCCAGGAAAGGAGGATTATTCAAAGCCTATAACTAACCATTTCTTTATAAATATAATTGTCTAGACCTCTGCTTCGTAATTTAGCTTCTTACCCCTCTTCTATTTATCGTATTGAAAGCTTTGATCAAAATCAGAAGCTAAAGCTTAGCCAAGCTCTATTTGCATTGCAAGTTTGAGCCTTGAAGCATGGCATTTTTGAGGTTTGCATACCATTTTCTTACTCTTTAGCACTTTGGTCAATATCTGACCTCTTTATATATATCTTAAACATTTGCATAAAAAGAAAGCTAAATGTATTGAGGAGAGATGAGCTACCATAGTTTAGATTTCCTTTTCTCCCCAACTTTAATGATGAACTAATTTCTATGTGTTACTTTCACACTTCTCATTTGTTCTCAAATGCTGTTTTTTCCTTTGTATTATGGAAGCACAGGGAGCATCCCCAAGCAGCTGTTTGTGTTGTACGTCCAGCCTACTCAATTACCCATGCATCTTTATACAATGATGCCCAGGCACCTATACTGACAGGCTTTTCAAAATATGTTCTTTTTCCATAGATTGCTTGTGACTTGGTCCTGTACAAGCTAGTTGTAGAATTTCAGTATGGCTTACATAAGCACAATATTGTCATAAAAGGGATGCTCATTGCCATTGCTAGCCCTTCAGATATCATGTTAAGATGTAGCAGCGAGGCAATGTATTCCAGTGAGGTGCTGAAAAAAAATAAATAATAAGAATTAAAAAAATTATTTCTTCATCAGGTATCCAGGTAGAAATGAAAGGATGCTGTAACTTTTTTCTTTCTTTTTAAGATGAGGGAAAAAATTTCTGCTTTACCCATCTATATGCCCTCTGCTGTATACAACAAATGTTAATTTGCAAAAAATCATTTTAATAGCATGCATACACTTAATCACTTTTACTTAGTGTTTCATTGTAATGTGACTTGCAGTTATCAGGCATTTTGAAATACACGCTAAAAATTTAGTAAAAGTGTCTCCGAAAACAGAACAATACCTAATGGCTCGTTCACTCCGGCTGCCATCAGAGAGTTGTACTTCATTTCTCTGGGCTCAGAGTTCAAGCAGTAATCATCATGCTATCAGTTCTTCAAAGCTACATCACAAATTATACCATTACAACTAGCGCTACTTAACCTTTTTGAAGGCAGGCTCAATAGACACGCCAAGCACTTAGCCGGCATGGGATTCCATTTCATGTCAGAACACTTGCACATTTATATCCATTAAGCTTTCAAAAACCTTTCCCATAAGTCTGTAGACAAGCACTATATAGTGACTTTAAAAAACAAGTGCTGCATTTTACTTCTGAAAATTGCAGTTGCATTATTTTATTTTGTTTTTAAGAGTAATAAACTAATTTGTATAATAAATGTTTCTCTTCAGCTCACCTAATTAAAGATTTAAAGTGAAATTACTGAACATATGCTCAAACATAGCAGCAGTGCACAAGAAGCACTGCCAAACATCAAAAACCAACCAACCAACCAACCGAAAAAAACAGGGCTGTGGGCTTAGATTTAATTTAATTTCATCAAGGAGTTGCAGAATAGATTTTATACAAAGAATTCACTGGGGAGTAACCCAATAACTAGCTTATATAGAACCGTGCATCAAAATCTTTCATGTTTTATCAGCGCATGTGTTCACCCTTACTAAATACTCAAAGTAAAAGCAAGTTTAAGTACAAAGTACATATAATTACTTATGCTTTTCTTCTGTTTCCACATTGGGTCACCACCTTTTCCTAAAAAGCACCGTATTCTTAAAGAGAATTAATAAATATGCATTAACTTAAGCTTCTTACCTTCAGCATCGTTGCTTCGGTCTTTCAGAGAGGAAAGGGAGGCAAGCTTGTGCCCTGCTTGCAGATGCGCCCATGAAGTGGGCACAGCTGCTTGATCTGAATTCCACTCACACATGTCAAGCTCAAAACTGGAAGCCTGCTGTGCTAAAAGGCAAAGCAAAGCAATCATCCAATTTCTTAAAAAGTCATTATTTATGAGACTATTTCCCATTAGAAACATATGCTCACTGAACTACTTCACAACCATTCTGTCTCTGGTTACCTCAAAAAAAAAGCAGTCTACCAGTAAGTGTATCTGGTATTCAAGGCTGCCATCTTTAATGATAGCATCTTAGAAAATTATTCCCTAAAGAGGGATGTTTTTTCAGAGCAACTTATTGGTATTTGTGTTGGCCAGTTGTTATAACCTTCATGAATTCACCTCTGTAGAGTATGTTCTCACGGAATATCAGAAATGACCTATTATAAAAAAAAAATCTGTTTATCTTTCTATACGATAGCTATAGTAAAATCAGTTCTAACTGAGAGGTTAAACTCAACAGCATCTTCATAATATTTACAACAGAATTCTCCATTTTAGAACCAAAGGATCTGAATATATCACCACATATTCTCAAGAATTTTCTAAAATTCTTGAAGCTTGAGATGCCAGAGGGTAGCTGCAAATTTTCACGTAATTAATAAGTACTATAAGGAGAAAGTCACTATTATTAACAGGATTGTATTATGACAATGAAGGTTCCATTTCTTAATGTTATTACAAGGGAAAAGTAGTTTTCTGGCTAATATGGATTTCTAAATAGCAGCCAGAGTATCTTAGAAAACAATGAAGATTCTTATCTGCGTGGAAAAAATAAATAATTTTATGTCAGTATACATACACATTACTGTCTGCTTCATCACAAAGTTATTTGTGTCACTCTACTGCCATCTCAGAGAAACACGACTTCCAGCTGATGTTACAAATCTCTCCTTTCCCCTTTTATCAGCTTTGCATATTCACATACACTTTTTTTTTTTAGCAGCATGCATGAACTGCAAAGAGTTGGCAATTTACTTCCGATGGCAAATGCAAAATTCTAGAACAATCTTTCTAGACAAGGAGGGATTTGTACAAATTCACCGTTTGAAAAAAGCTGTAAATACGCTCAAAAGAGCCAAGCTCTTCATTAATGCTTTTTCAATTATTGAAACAAAACATTTTGACTAATTCTGAATTTTTAATTGTAAATATTTCTGAGGGCTTTTTTGTTTTATTTTTGACAGTGATGACAATCTTTTAGGATTAAATACACATTCCAGGGGAGAGGAGAAGGGAAGGAAGAACTTAAAGGTGACCTCAATGGAAAGTTTTTCTACAAGAACACTTTATATCCTTACCTATCTATAGTAATCCAAACAGCTTCAAAATCTGGAAATAGCACGTTTGGATAATCCAAAGTAAACGAGGGGCACTAACTAGAATTTATTACTTTTACACTTAGGTATATTGGCACACTTTCTTAATAGTGTTCTGGTTTCAGGTTTCAATACACAAAAAGGTCATCTCAATGCAACAATTGTATTTATAAAAATAAAACACGATTTTCATATTTATTTAAAAAAAAAAAGTCAAAAAAACTTTAGAAGATATTTATGTGCTACATTCAAAGGAAATTACATATTTCTAGAGATCATGGTTTGGATCAAGCAACTCCTGAAAGCACAAAAACTTAAACTGTTTTGCCCTAAAAGCACAATCATAGTAATGAATACAAATGCACAGGTCATTTCATACCGGTATTTATACTGGAAGTAGAAATCATAATGCATTCATGAAAAATGCAAATTTTAACAACAAATTTCATGCAATTAGAGCTGTCTTCATTTAAATCCCTCTTATCCAGACATTTCACAAGATTAGAGAAAAAAATGCTTTCAAAATCAAGCAGCCATTAATCTGACCTTTTGTTTTAATCACTGAAAAATGTTCAGCAGTAAAATTCCTCTTCTGAGGAGAAAATTAAGATCTTTTGACCCTGTTCTTTGGCTGCTGTGAGCAATTCAGATGTCACCTAATGAAGTTAACTTCACCTAACGTAGAAGCACAGGATAAGAACTGGTTCTTATTAGAGCACATTTGAGGTACTTAACAATGCTGCAGTAGAGCCATCTGGATGTCACACTTTGTACTCCAGTAGCTGCCATTTAAGGTAAATTTAACGATTGAATTTATCCGTTCTGCTGAGTATACCACATTTTTGCCTCAATTTTTAATTTCTTCCTCTCTTTGAGACAATATTTCATCTCTGTAGTTGATGCTCTTTTCTTTTTTGTTTGCTTTAGAAGCACTTTGTTTATGAAAAAGCCAATCTATTTGAACAGAGAGATACATATCCACCTGCAGGAACTGGTTAAGCAAGCATATCAGTTGACAGGATTTAGCAATGCATTTTTTCCACTTCCTTTTTATCCTTCAAGAATCCTCCAAGAAACAAAGAGAAGTTGGGGGGGAAATCCCACATCTGCATTGATGTTTCACTGTCAGTTTCAAATTCATCTTTCAAAAAAGGTGCACTCTAAACTAACCTGAGCTTATAGGCAAGTATGCCCTAAGTTTTAAATTAGCATCCTTGCACTTTTAAGTAGTACTGCTATAAAGCCACTACAAAACAGAAAAGCAAGATTAGACATGGAATTTATAGGAGCATACGACTTTTGCTTCCATAATTCCCCACTGCAAGAAAGCTGAAACATGGAGAGGTTTTTATTAGCAAATTTAGTATTTAATTTCCCCAGTATACCTCTCCTTTGTTATGTATATGTCCCTGAATTTTATGAATACAAAGGCTAAGCTTTGTATCCTGCTCTTACTGTGATCTGCCTACAATTGCTCAGCACTCTAAAATGCTAATAATCATGTGCATCTATTTTTAATAGTATTTCCCAATGGGACCTCTAGAAACCTTTATTTTAGACTACAATATACAAAATTGTTTGCGGAACCTAGAATGGTCTATGTCAACCGATTCCATATCTTATATCACTATAGGTAGTTAAATTTAAGACCCTCAATTATTGTGCTACAACTCAGAAAAGCAAAGGGGTCTTTTGCATCAGGACTGTACTCACCTTATGTTGCAGCATGAGTGCCACAGTGCAATCTTCTTGTGTACTTGAGAACAGTGAGAAATCTAATTAACACTAGGAAGGTCTTTATGCTTTTCCCATGAAAGTATATTGGATTGAAAAAAGGAAAATGTGAAATATTTTGCTAAAGAATCTTGACACCCATGGGAGGACTGGCTGCATACCTCACTAACCTAACACGACAGCTGTTTAGATGTAGTGGAGCAGAACAAAGTAACTCCATTGCAGCTGAGGATCAGGACCTTCAAGCATTTAAAAATACACACAAGTGCCTTGCAGATTTTCCTAAAGCCAGCTCAAAAGCTTTTTTGGACTCAGCTGAAGACATCAGTTCTTTGGCCAAGAACAGTAGATCTTTCCTGCGCACTGAGGGCTTAATGCTCTCCTAGTTGTAGGAAGTTCCTGCTGCATTCATACTATATCAGTTTTCTTAAAGTATTGATTAGTATTCTTTATAACTGTGTTTATATGTAATATGACAGCTGATGGTTTAGAGGAATGAAAATAAGGCACGTGAAAACAATTATGGAGTTAAGAAAGCTTTTCAGTACCAAATGGTTTCCCTTTGTTCCCACATGGTTTCTCTACTAATCAAGGGGAAAGACAGAGTAAAATTATTTGTATATTGAAAAATGGAATTCTTACCAAATTCTGGAAAGCATCCTTCACTGAAAGAAACATCGTCAATGGCAATGGTTTCATCTCGTCCCTGCTTCTCTACCATCCCCCAAAAAATAACCTGCAGAGTTTAACAGGAAATGAGCAAGAAATGACATTCACCAGTGTCACAGACAAAGAGAAGAAAAACATCCCAGGATGCTCTAGGCATGGAAAATCTATTACATTATATATGTATGTGTGTGTGCAGAGGGAGGGAGGGAGGGGGAGAGAGAGAGAGAGAAAAAAAGAGAAAGAGAGAGAGGAAGTCTGACTTACACAGTTTCCATTCGAAAGACAAGAACACAGACCATGCATTTAACAATTTTGGAGGATTACCATCCGGGCTTTTTGCACACATCTGTGGCTTGTCAGCATAGATATTTAGTCTAGTCTTCTATCTAAATCAAGAATGAAATTGCATTTAACTGAAAGAGTCTCTTGGAAACCACAATAAAATACATTAAAATCTAGGGAGGAATCACGATAATTAGGAAACAGAAAGAATTTGTATATTATCAAGCCATTCTTCCACCAGAAACTGGAAATATGACCCTTTTTTTGTTGTTTGCAGAACTGAACAGACAGATAGAAAGCATGATCAGGGTAACACACACCACTTAAGCCAGAAGCCCTTCATTAACATGTTTTTAACTAAAACGGACTTTGAGAATTTTGTTTTAAAAACAAAATTCGATGGTTATTCTGCCGTAACACTACAACAGTAATTTTTCCTATCACAATCTTCTGCATAACTAAAGTTATAAGTATTTTACATTTCTGTCTTTAGGGGCAAGTTGCAATCTAGGCTATTTTGCAAATGTGGAGACTACCCCAGTTTCTCTGCAATGAAGTAGAAGATGACTTGACAGCCACAACCCTGGGAAGAAGGGGTTATTCATGCTACCTAAAGTTAGAGGTAAATGTGGGTATGGTATGAAGACAGGGTCTGTTATAGTATAATTCAAAGCATGTAAATTAGTCTCCTGCTCTGAATTCCCTTCTTGCTCCATTGACTATTCTGAAGTCCAGCCTTCTCATTGAGTGAAATGCCGAGAAATCAAACATATAAAAACATTCTCTAAATTATTTCCTAGCTCTGTCTTAGGATGGTGCAGCTCCACTCTCCTCCAGAGTCCTGGAGGCACAACATACCTAGAAGTACAATCTGGCTCTTAATATGTAATGTAGAGTCTAATACTAGATAATAAACTTTCAAATACTAAGTTCAGAGCTCAGTGGCAGTTTTGCAAACAGTTTAAATGTACAAGATTGTACCAGAAAACCTGCATTTACCCTATAAGCTATTGTCAGCTAGAGCGTGGACTACAGGATTACACTACTCACCAAAGAGATGACCATTATGTCCTGCCTTACTACAGGGAAAGAACAGCAGTTAAATGACTCCTGAAACCTTCAACAAGGGCTTTTTTCTTGGTTTTGGTGTTCTCTTTTTTGGGTTTTCTTTTCATTTGTTTTTTAAACTATACTTAACCCATATAAGAAGCATTACAGCTCATAAAGTCAAATGATCCTGGCATTACATGACCAGTGGAAGACGGAATGTGATTAGCCACATAACCAGTGAAAAATCACTGTCTCATTTGAACCTTTTTTCAGTACAGCAAAGAGAAGGATAACCAGGAACCACTTTCTCTAACAAATATTCCAAAAAGAGCCGTGTTTGCAGGTGCACGGAACAGCTGCATTTTCTAATATACTATTTTTAAGAAATAATGGCATCTTGTGAGTTTATGCAACAGCTGATCAGAGAAGCTCAATGGAAAAATGCAGTTCATTGAATTTCAATAATTTTGAGGGAACAGGCGCAATCCTGATATCAATTTTTGTTTGAAAAGGTTTAAAATCTTTTGCTATAATGATATGTTTGTGTCATTTCATGTTTCTATCTGTTTGGAAAGAAAAAATAAGTTGTACAAAATATTAATGACATCGTATCACAGTCAATTATATAGTTATAGAATGAAATGCAGTAGCTTGGAAATTTGCACATTTGATTTGTTTCATAATAGTAACATTTTGAAATGTTGAAAGTTGCTGCAACAACTTGTGAAGATAATGTATGCTTCAGTGACAACACCAGTAGAATGACAATTAATATATTTGTATTTCCCATTTTTATGATTACATGGTTTCAAAAAAGCTTCTAAAAATACTGTGCACTGCTTTAAATCCTAAAATATAAAATAAATATTTGGCAAGCCTTTGATATTAAATAATACATATTTGACCTTTTCACAGTGAGTCTTCACTGTGAAGTTGAAATCCAGTTAACAAACTCATTTGAAAACATATATAGTCTGCAGTTACAGCTTTGATTCACACTATACTAAAGAGGTGCCATCTCACTTTGGTAGTGCAAAATCAGAGGTGTTTTTAAATTCATACTCTACAGGAGCATACAAAATATTTAATAACATGCATTAAGTACCTGTACGGTATGTTTGCCTGGTGAAGATAATAAAATGCACAGATTTAAAAGAGATGATTCAAATGTATATGCTATGTATCTCTCTGCCAAGAGCTCCCTGCTGACTGATGGCAAGCATTCAAAGCTCAGAACCTTGGGTCATATCCAACACTACATTTTGACTGGTTTGATTAGCAAAATGGGGAAGATAGATATAAACCAAAGTTACCTGGGCAGTGAATATGAATTCAGAACTGCTTCACTTTACTGGAGTTCCACAAAATACCTGAATCATGCTGGCTAATCTCTCTCTTGATTTTAGCCTTAATTTAACCACAACTATGCAGTGAAGACAGAAAATTTCCAAAGAGCAGAGAGACTGTCTGTAAGTAAAATGAGACTAGTACAAATGAAAGTTACTTAAAGAAAAAAAATCATTCCCAAAAAAGGAGAATATTAGAGTGTATATGAATATGCAGATGCATCTCAAAGTTCATTTATAATCTGGTGCTCAGATAACTTTTTCAGATTACTCTAAGGACAGCACTGCAAGCATAGCTCTTCTTGCAACCTAATCAGCCAAAAGCATTGATGGAAGATCACTAATATTCACTGCAAAATGTTATAGGCAATTTCAGCTCTTATGACTGGCATGATTAAAGAGTGGGAGGAGGAGAAGGAAAGAAGAAGTACTAGTAAAAGTAATTATTTTTGAATGTTTATATTACTAATATTTTGAACAAGTTGCTGCATAGAATTACTCACAGATGGCAAAAGCAAATAAAGAACAACTGAAAACTGTAATCTGGGAATTTTTAATGAACTGCTAAAATTTCTGGACTTCATTACTGAGGATTATAGAAATTCAGTTTCTGCATGTTTTCACTCTTTTTCCTTCTTAATTGTTTTGAAATGGAAGTTGTACACGTTCAACACACCCTAATGTTCTGAACATCCAGTGAAATGACAGCCTTTGCTTGCAAAAATAATCAACAAATGCTACCTAAATACCTATTATCTATGGCCATCAGAACAAATTAATGCTGCAACTCCATTTGTGGCAAATATGCAGCTTCAGCATGATTATAGGGATAGGTCTAACGTAGCACTGGACTTCCTCTGCAAGCAGACTCACATGTACAGAAGCCAGCTGCAGTGGCAAAAGGTCAAAATGGGCATAGAAGAGTCAGTAGCTATAATTGATTCCAATTAAAATCTAATTTCAAAAGTATTTAGAAAGTTGGGGTGAAAATTTCTCAAATATCCTTTTTCAAAAATTTTTTCCCATGAAAAATTGTATTTTCCCCACCCCAAAATTTTTTAGAAACTTGAATAATCAAAAAAGTTATATATATGAAAATATCAAAATATCAAAATATCAAAATATCAAAATTCAATGAACAAGAAAATATCTTGAGTATATTGAGGAGTGTCCACAATAAGGTTAGAGATTTTTATTATTTTTCCACAGTTTAGAGCAGAAAAAAAATTACATTTTTAACAGTTTCGATGTAACAGGAACTTTCCACTCTGCTGCAATAAGCCAGTATGATTGCTAATTATTTTAGTATATTTTTCCTACTGTATTTTTGCACAACTTTACCACTCTTGAAAAATGCAACAGACATCCCTCTAGGCTGGAGACCTTGTAGTTTCAAAAGAACAAGTTCAGAAGGTCAACTGAATTATATTCACTTGCATGATCAACATCTTGCAAGTTGTCACTGGAGAGACAACTTGCAACAGAAGAGGACGGGTTGCTCAGCTTCAGCCTCTGTGTTTGGTAAGGCGCCTGGCTACATTCCTTCAGTCCTTCAGTTTGACACCTTCCTCTTTAAACTGTACCCATCAGTTCTCTTTACAGAAGCCAAAGGATAAAAATGTCTGCTAGCCATGATCTAATTAAGATTTGATCCAGCAATTTAGAGGCAGAAGACTCCATATTATATTAACTGTCCCCAGACCTATGCCATTTTCTAAACAATATAAAAGATGAAAAAGTAAAGATAGAAGTAAATCTTGCCAATATGATCCCATTGCTGCATGTCCACTCAGATAGAAGCAAGTTATCAACAGGTAAACACATAAGTACTTCTCTTGAATTAGGTACATTTATTTCTTTCATAATACATATTCTCAGTCCATGTTGAGCAAGCAAATATTACTTTGAAAACCCAGATCTTATATCCTTAAGCACAATGTCACCTATGCAAGTCTGGTAATTATGTTACTCTTATAGTTTATTGAAATGAGATTGCGCTGACCCTAAGAATGCCTTTGACTTGACATGCTAACCAACTCCTCACAGTAACTACTGTAGAAGGAAATATCTCCAAGTTGCTCCTGTACTCCCCCATTCCCCATCAGTATTTTGCATAATAGTGAACATGCATTATCCATGATACTATTGCTCCGAGTTACATTTATTGTGCTAATGTTTTGTATAAATGAATATAAAAAATACTGAAATAATCTATGAGACTTGCATTATTTTTCAGCAATTCTGAGCAAAATAAAACCATATGCATACGTTCTGTGATAAATGCTCAAAGCTATCATGAATAGTAAACCTATAATTAATAGTTGCATTCAAAGTTTGTCACCAGGAACGTGTCTGTAGAAATTCACAGAAGACATTTGTAAATTAAGCTTCCAGCTTAACAGTACAGTTAGCTAGAGCCTAAGAGAAAATAGTAATAAAAGTTAAGCTCCTAAGTGCATCTTCTCTATGGGCAGGCATAAATTTATAATGTAATAAGAACGATTGTTTTATTTTAGATATATTCACAGTTTAAATGAGATTTAGCATTAATTTTAACATTGCTGAGATAAGAACAAGCAATATTTGTTAATATCATTCATGAGCTTCCAAATTGCTTCTCTCCTTTATCTTATGCTTTCCATATACAAGATATTTATCTTCACTGAATTTTGCCTTATTAGAAATCACAATTTATAAACCATTCACTAACTGTAATTTACCAACCTCAAACTTTTCAGTGCTATTGATTGCGATCATATTTGCTTTCCACTGATTTTGCTGTTCTGCCGAATCTTGCCAGATGTTTTTGATGGCATCCTCAGAGTGCTTTTGAAGCCCCACCATCAACGTTCCATTCATTTGACTGATCCAATAATAAAACTTAATCTAGGACAGAAAAGGCCTGATTATTCCAGGAAAGCACTATGACAAAAGGCAAAATACAAGGATTTTTGCATCAAAATACCTGGCAAATGCGTTCTTTGTCAGTTGGAAGGAAAACATTGCTCCTTAAAGTTGCAGAAGAAGATCCCATTTCAGAGGACAATGAGAGGAAATAAGCTATGAAAAAGAATCAAAAACTTTAGCAACTTGGAAAGAAAAAATATTTGAAAGATAGCAGTAAAACAAGGACACACGCACACACACGCACACACACGCACACACACACACACACACACACACACACACACACACACACAGGTATAAATTAATACTGAAAAAGTCAGCCAGAAGTTTTTCCCCAGAAAAGATTAATATCACACTTGTAGCCGTTGTGGGCTGAGCTTTTGTTCATATTAAGTATTGACACACCACTTCTCTTTATGTTTCCTCTGAAATATCAAGTAGGCTTCCAATATATTTCATGTGTAGACAGCCTGAATACTCAATTAATAAATGTCAAATTTCTGAACAAAGCTAGGACTAGCTCAGTAAGCTGGTCAAAGAACTTGAATCACAATTATTGAACAAACTAAAATATTTCCTGCATTAAAAAAAACCAACTACCGTGACCAGCAAAACAGACTTATTACACCAGTTCAAGTCTTTAAGGAAGCGTTACTCAAGAAGATGGATGAGGAGATTATAGTGTCCCTGTGTTCCAGAAAAGTCCTTTTTCTAGATAGAAGTTAAATATGGGCCTGAGTTTCGGCTGCTCAGGAAATTGCCTTGTTACAGAGTGGAGGTTGTAGCCTCCCCATACAAAGCATTGGCCTCAGACTCTCCACACTATCAATAAAGATAATGTTATCTTTGTAGTTACAAATCAAGTCCAAATTACACATTTATGTAAAGCAAAGCTTTAACAGCTCAACAAGAATAAGTGAAACATGGCTGCCATTGTACTTTCTGACAGACTAGATCTCTTCCTGACAAGTTTGGTTTAGGTATCCAATAGATGGAGGGCTACCACCATCTTTTAGAATATCAAATATTGCTAGCTGAAATTTTGTTCTTCCTAAGCATGAAGATTTCAAAGATGTTAGATGTTATACTTAAAGGACGAAGGATGCAAAAAGGCTCAAGCTGGCTTTTTCCTTCCTTTGCCTTCTATCCTCCTTTCCAAACTCCATGCAATGTCAGGTAAAGTGCTGTCCTCAGACATTAACATGTAAATGAAAATAAGAAGATTTGAAGAGGGTTGAGACCGAAAGCAATAAGAAAAAAAAAAAAAAAAGATGAATAGGAACATCTAAATAATTATATCAAAACTATCCACACTGACCTCTCATCCTTGGGTGCAACTGGAAAGGCACTGACCAAGGACACTATGACTAGCTCAGTACTGGAGCCAAATGAGCAATCCATCACAGAGGAGCATTTTGCAATCTGCTAATAGAGCAGTGGCCATGCTCCCCCTACGTTTTAGCTCCTTCATGACTGCTCAGACAGCACTTTCAGAGCCTGCTAGCTGCAAGGATACTCTTTCCATGCACAACAGACGGTGACTTGGTGGCACAACAGAGCCCTATCCCTCTTTCTAATCTGTTTCATTAGTTTTTCCACTTCCATGAAACTTTAAACATTGAACTTTTTTCTTTTAGTTCTCTAAAGAAAAAGGTAGCTGAGACTTATATGCAAAATCAGGTTTCACCTGCCACAGGATTGTCCAACACAGATGGGGCAGAAAGGGCAATTTTCTTAAAACTTTTTAAAAGGTAATTCTACATTTAAACCCTGCACAGATTACAGATTTCAATGAGCAAAACCAGCTCTTTAAAATTGTTATCATCAGTCTGTTCAGCTATGTTATCAGTGAAAATAAGAACCATGAGGAGAGACAAAGCTAAAGAAAATCAGTTGGGTTCTAGTAAATGATTATGTAAGTCTTCAAAGGAGTTACATCTACCTCATGAACTTTGCTCTTTTTGTTAATGTGTGTGCAATTACTTATCGTGATGGTAGGAACTGCTCTCATTAATGCTATGCTATAGGACTCAATTGTCACCACACAACGTCTTTTCTGGTTTTTAAGCAGGAGCTAAAGTAAAACTGCTCACAAAACCTGCTAAGTCTTCAGCAGTAGGAAAACTTTATGAGTTACTATAAGGACATAAGTGTTTCCTAGACAATTAGAACCAGCACTCAGAAAATGAAAGATTACAGTTTAGCCATTCTCATTAAATATAAAACTGAAATAAATGAATATGCTCAACTCTCCATAGCCATTCAGTTCACTAGTCTGAGTACACAACCTCTCATCAAGCTGAATAGGTGAAAATATTCAAGCTTTCTATTATTCAGTCAAAAAAGCTTACATGAATGCAGCTACAGTTCAATTTGGACATGGCAAACATAATGCTGACTGAGCACCCAGGACAAACGGATAGGAATATACAGGTTATATCTTTCTTTCAGATTGAGCGGCTTTGTCTACGCTGTAACAAACACCTGAAGCTGTTGGTTCTCAGTCTTGTGCCGGTTTTGGACGCCTGCATAGGTTAGGTCCCTCCCTCACCCCACCCTCACGAGTTCTTAGCAAGATGAGGATGACCTTCTTCACTGGATTTAGGCAAGACGACCTTTCAGGTCTTTGCTACCTCCTGAAAGAATGCTTTATACTACTGAATGAACATAATACCCTAGGCATTTCAGCTAGAGCAAGACTCTGTTGCCTGGTTACTTAGTTTTGATTCTATCCTAGAGTTTATTACATTTTTATTCTATAGTATTTGTCTTTTATCTACTTCTTGATGTTATTGTTTTAAAGATAAAAGTTTCACAACTTTCATACTTGAGATAAAACCTACCTCTATCAAAATGGCCTGGATAGGAGGTCAGATTTTTGCACTAACATTAGTTTAACCCAGCACTCATCTAAACAGATCCTTATTTTCAGAAGCATAGCACACACAGGAGGATTTGCCTCTATGATACATAAGCAAAAAAGTAAGTTGTTAGAAGTACGTTGCATGTGTACAACGTCCCAGTTCTAGAACATTATGAAAACTCTTTGCTGTGGAATGAGGGACTTGTGGGAAAAGTTCTCTTTTTTTTGTAAATGAAAAACTAAAAATGTCTATGCAATTTTCATTTTGCTGACTTCTAAATTCACACATTCACCTCTAAAATACCAATTCATGTTAATTTAATGCAATTGTTTCCTGTTTCATAGTTTATGCAATGTGTAGGAGTTTTCACTTGCTTCAGAACCATATAGATTTCTTTACTCCCAAATAATGACAGTTTAGGAGTCATGTGAAAAAAACACAGGCCAGAGTCAATCTCACAATCATGCTTTAGTCCCTTATAAAAGTATATATTCTGTATTCTTGCACACTCTCTGACCTTGCATGCCTGCCTTCTGAGGCCTGCTCTGAGGATTCATGTACATCTATTTGTGCACGAGAGGTAAGCAGAGGATGGGTTGGGAAGGAAAACAAATGGGAAAATGTGGAGAAGAGCATTAACCAGTTTCCAGGGACTATTTCATGCAGCCCATGTTTTTACTGTGATAGAGTGCACCTATCTTATTTTTTCCCTCCTTCCTTGCTTTCTTACAACGCCAGCTTTGGAAAGTAGAAAAGGACACACTGCAGCTTAAAAAAAAAAAGTCAGCTCAAGTCAGTTAAAAAAAGGTTGAAGAAGAATTCAAGTACTACAGAAGGAAGAAATCAAGTTTTAGAAAGCAGGGTTAACTTGGATAGTGGACAAGCACAAGGAGGGATGGTAAAGAACATATTTTGTCTGGAGTCAGGGACAACAGTATTTGATGCAAAGTGGAAATGTGATAACATTGAGAGAGAAGCTGCCTTACACAGGTTATTAGAGCTCTTCCCGTTCCCAGCTCCAAACTCACCTTCTCTCAAAATATTTGGAATTGTATATTATTTACAGATCATAGATACACATACTCTAGGCATTCAGAAACCAGTCCAAGAACAGATCTAAATATGTGTCATATAATGGGGGATCCAATTCTCATTTCTAAACTTTGCAACTATCAAGAGTGAAATTATAACCAGATGTCTCCAAAACAGGCAGAGGTGACTCAGCAGAGTCACTGCATATCAACATAAGTCTTGATGACTCATTCTTTATTTCTCAAAGATAATCAGAGCTGCTTTCCAAAATAATGTTTTTTTTCCTGGAATTCTAAGTCGTTGTAATTACAGTCACCTAAAAGTCCTGGCATCTTTCGATTTTATCTCAAAAAACATGTGCCTGAATCCAACCGAACTATGAAGAAAATAGTAATTTTAAGTAAACAGAATAGAGATATACATAATGTGTAAAAATCTATGGTTCCTTCAAAGGACATGAGGATTCTTACCAGTGTCATTCCCAGTATGGTCAGAGTAAGGTGATCCCATACCAGATCGGCCATTTCTTCTAATCCATCCAGGTTGTAAATTCAACTCAGGAAAGATTTTGCACATATCAGTTTCAAAGTCACACTTTTCACAGGATGAACCTAAATTAAAAAAAAATCCAGAAACTTGATGTAAGAATGCTTTGACTTACTGAGCATATGCACAACTCATAAGTAAACCGAGAAAGAGAAGCAAAGAAATGCATTCTTAACCACTATTTGTTATTAAATTAGCACACAGAAAAAACCTAAAAGGTATTCCATAAAAAAGAGGAAAGACTACAAGTTTTAGATTGAGAACAAAGAGAAACAAATAGTATGGTGGAAAAAAGACAAAAAGAATGTATGTTACAAAAAGAATAGTCCATTTACTTTATATCGCTATAGCTATAGCATACGCCTTTTTCTCCACAAATGTGTATGTAGCTATGTACTTGTAGGAAACCATACAAGCTTGTATAGCTTATATACATAGAGGCTGTTCTTTAAATATACTGCAGTTATGAGCTGAAAGTTTCAGTACAACCACTTCATTTCTACCCAGGGCTCTTACATAGAGAAACAAAAACTTAACACGAGGAAATAACCAGAAGGTAAAAATATTTTGATTCCACTTTTGTTTACTTAATCATATCATAATCTGCATTTTTCAGGGACCTCAGAGTACGAGCCCAGTCTCAGAAATCCCACAGGGCTGAAGAGCAGAAAAGCGAGGCTCTCAT